ACCCAATTGCCTATCTTCTTCTTTTTTCAGGTCCCTGTAAGTGTGATTGTTGCCTGGATAATGGGTGTCCAAATGGATCTTGATTTCAATCTCCTTGAAACTGGTTCTCTTGCTTTCACTATAATTATCACAGCCTTCACATTGCAGGTTTTCTCCTAATCCACCCCCTTTGTTTTCACTTTTTGTTTTTTTAGCTGAGAAAAATACCTTCTTCTGTTATTGTCCAGGATGGAACGTCACATTATCTGAAAGGGGTCATTCTTTTCCTGTGCTACATTATTATTGCTGCTTGCTTTTTTGTTGACAAAATTCCCATGAGTAAGTATCGACCCTAGATTTATAAAGGTACCAATTAAGAAGAACCAACATTAAGCTTGTGATTAATTATGTTATACTAATTAAGGACATTATGGATTTTGATGACAGATGAAACAACTGTGGGCAATTTGGGAACTGTACTTGAACCATCCTCAGGAGTCTTGGTTGCTTGATTAGCTTGGCATCCCAAAATAAAAGTTGAGATCTGTTAAGCATCCATTTTGGTTAAGAGTTGAGATGGGGTGTGTTCTTCTCAAGAAGCAAGGACTCTTGGAAATGAATGGAAGTTCCCCTCTGAAGATGTTTGCTTCATTTTGGTTAAACTGGTGGCAAATTGGCAAGTGTTTTTATATTCAATATTTGACTTTTCTCCCTGTGACTAGAAAACATGTATTTGATATTTAAGCAAATATGTGGGTGAAGCAGAGGGAAATGCAGCTATGTCTTCTTTTGGTGGCAATAATATCATGGAAATAAACAACTCTAGATTGGAGTTCAACTTTGCCTTTTTAAATAAATGCTATGAAATGTCACAGGTTTGACAAACTGTCACTATATAATTTACCATTGCAACATATGTGAGGAAATTATTCACATTACTTCTTTTTTGTTGGAATTTAGGAGGTGTGATGTGTATTGCTTTGATACCACTTGTTGGTTTTAAGTGATGAAGGGATTTAGGACAATAGACAATAGTTGAAATAAAGTAATTGTATTACATTGGAGGAGAATAGTACATAGCTTGGTGTAGGCTAATTGGCCTCCTCCTTAACTTATTGGCTTATTGACTTATTAGCCACCACACTTAATTTACATTAGTTTGGGCTATTTGGCCCTATAGGGGCTTTTTTCTTCCGGCAGCTACAAACGGACCTGGGTTGCCGTAAACAGCAAAATAGAAGAAATTGCCCCTTGAGCTTGAGTTCGAAGATCAAGCCCTAAGAATGCTTCGAAAAGACAGTAGAGCCTTAGGAAACACCTTGGTTACCTTCACCAATGAAAATAACAGCAACTTACAGATAAATTTTTAGCTTGGCATGAGAAGCTTGTGGCATGAGAGCAAAATTGTCATGAGTTTAGCACTGAAGAGAAAACTAAGTGTTCCTAGGAGAAAGATGAGGTATTAAGGTTGGAGAGAAAGGATTTTGCAAAGAGGTTTGGTTGAGCATGAGGGAAAAGAGAGAAAAATGTGGATTGAGTGTTTTTCCGGCAGCTTGACAGAAACTCTGTCAAGTGTCAGAAAAGCTTGCAAAGAGGGAAAACTAAGGGAAAAGGATAAGCTGAACACGAAATTGCTGGGTTTTGGGAGTAAGAGAGGAAGCTTGCTCTCTGATGTGGTTGATGCTTATTGGGTAGAAGATGCCCCCTTTTATAGCCGCTGGAAGCTGACATTTTCCAAGAAACCTTAATGGTTTCTATTCAATTTGGCCAAGTCTTTCCCTTCATTTCTCCCCTCATCTCTTCAATCATCTTTTTTTGGTGAAATCCACTCTACCCATTTGCACAAAATCATGGATTTTTGGGAGCTCAAGGCCCCCTTTCTCGTGGCTGTTTCAGACTCCTATTTTCAGCCATCTTTCTTCTATCTTTTCTCCCCTCTTCCAAGGCTAGGTCTGATGAGGGAAAGAAATAGGTATGCATATTGGTTCAAAGGGTGATCTGCGCTCCAATATCCCTGGGTCATTTGGAAGTTTTTGCTTGAAACTTGCTCATTCCCTCCCAGCAACCAGCTTGGTCTTCCATGCTTCTTCTTGGCTTCTGTTTTCCAGCAAAGTGCTGATGGTTTTGCAGGTCTTTATTTTATTTATGTGGGCCTTCTAGAACAATGGATTGGCTTATCAAATAAATGGGCCAACTTCACCAAGGTTTGGCTTGAGGTGTTGGGCTTTTTGGTTGAGTCAGTAGACTATTTTGGTTGAGATATTTTCTCTTTGTGCTCACCCACATGTTTGGGCCTAAGAAATGGACTTGGGTTCCGAGGCTCCCAAGCAACTGGAACCTCCATTTCTCGGCTCATCAATAGGCCTCATGACAACTTATTACCATCCATACCACGACCAACTCAAGCAAACCCCAGACATCTTGCGTGACTTGGGCCCACTTAAGCTTGTGGCATGATTAGATGCAGAATAATAATTCATTGCTTGGCGTGGCACGTCACTTAGTGTGGCATGTGTGCAAGCGCATATGATGAACTTCCGCATGCCCAAATCGGGTTTCTTTTCGATAAGGTATCGCATTGGGCCGAGAATTTATTTGGGCCAAACCGTAGATTTTTTGGGCCTCAACAGGCCCTAGCTTGAGCTCTTGCCTTCAAGCTTCTTCCATAGGTTGGGTAGCTCACCTGTAGTTCCCTCGTGGATTGGGAGTTGTAGTGGTTAACTCTGACCACCTTTAGTTGATTAGCTAGATAGCTAGTTGTAGTGGTTAGCTCCCACCAACTTTAGTTGATTAGCTAGATAGCTAGCTAGTTTAGGTTGCTAGCTTACTAGCTTAGACTTGGGTAGCTTCTTTGCTCCCACAAAGATTGAGAGTTCTATTAGTTGACTCCACACAAAGCCAGCCGGCTATGCGACCGCAGAGGGCCTCCTAAATATAGGAGCCTCCAAATTTTTTGCTGCCCAACTATTCCAATTACAAAATAAAATAAAAAGGTCATTCGTGTGCCCAAATTTTTTTGGGAGACTTTGGAAAAACACAAAGAAGAGAGAAATTTTGTAAAATAAGCAAAATTAGACAAAATTACCCTTATTTATTTTTGGATTTCCTAACGAATCCTTTATATTTGCATATCTTTGATTTGAAAGTTGAGAGGTTTTTTTGTCTTTTTTGAAAAAGCTTTGGCTTTTTCCAAAAGTGAAAGTTTTTTTTATGACTATTGCTGCAACGAAAACCTAGTTAGGTAGTTTTTTTCCTCACCTTTTTTTTTTTTGGTCAATACCTTTTCTCTTTTTTTATGAAAGCCATTTTCTCCTCTTCCTTTTGTTTTTCGGTCGAAAATTTTCTCCTCAGACAAATGCCATCTCTTTTTTTTCTTTTTCGAGCTATCTACCTTTTCTCTCAAGAACCATTGAAGGTGCATCTCCTCTTCTTTCTTTCTATTTCTATTTCCATTTTTTCCCTCTCATCTGGATGGTAGTTCAAAATATTTGAACTGGCAATTGTTCTCTCTTTTTTTTTTTTTTTTCTTTTTTTTTTCTGTAGTTTAGTTAAAAGTCAAATGTTGAAACCATAGTTCATAAAAATAAAAAATAAAAAATAAAAATTTTAGTACATTGATACGGCGGGGAGGGGGAGTTTTTATTCGATGTTGTTGAAAGTTTCAAATCAAGTTATAGTGTTCGTTTTTTGTTCTCAAGCATGTTGGGCTGCCAAATTAGGACTTCAACATCTCTCTTTGCACAGAACCTCTAAAATCAATAGACCAACTCTAACTCCACATGGTTTAGGAGTTCTTTTTGTTGACTCCACATTTCATTGTAGGTTGCATGCCTATTTATAGATGATTGTTTGCCGACTTAGCCTTGGTCCATCGACTTGGGCACTTTCTCCCAACCACATGTTTGTAGTCATGCTCTGGAGATTTCTTCCACCGCCATACTTTAGCCCTTCACTTGTCACTTTTTCTAGAATATTCTACCATGTTCATTTTGTTTTGCCGCCACGCAACTTTTTTATTGTGAGCTCTTGACTTTTCCAGAACTTTGTAAAACAAAGGAGCATTAGTTTTTCAACATTTTCCCCCACTAATTTTGTGCATTTTCTAACTTTGCTACAGTAAATATGTCATGTTAGAATGCGTGTATTTTCAAAAGAAAGTTTGGAGATTGCTTCCAAACAAAGGACTGAAACCCTGAAGGACTGCTATTTTATGTTTCCAAACTACCATTCTAACTGCATTTTATAAAAAAATACTTATTCCTAGCACCAATCATTTATTTATTTATTTCTTCTGTTTTCAGATAAGGGGCTTAGCTCAAGGACTCAAGGGTAGGCCTTAAATCATCAATGTCAGAAAATGTGTTCAGAAGATTATAAACTAAAGTAGAAGTATGATATATGTAGGGTAATCCCATAAAAGTATTGTAAATGTATTATGATCAATAATCAATGATTATTTAAAAAAGAGCAAGCGTGAAAGTCAAACTTTTGTCGTGACTGTGAAGCGTGTGAGTTCACTACCAAAATAAAGTCGTTAGCCTCACATTGACGGCCAAACTTAGATATCACAAAACCACTCAATATTATATTTTAGAAACTTAATGTAACCACAAAGCCAGCAATATAACGGCAAGGGTCACATTCTGCCGGCTGACTTGCCCATGTAATAGGCTTTGACGCCGCAATGAATTGGCATCTTGTAATGGATCTAACATAAGCCAAAAGATAAACAATATAAATACCCAACAGCCATCAAAAGGAAGCCATTTAAATAAAGATGTTGCTCATCTTCATTACAAACAACTAGCATGCATCTTATTATAATTCAATTATTTTCTGTCGTAAAATGCAAGCTTGAAATTGTGCCAGAAATCCTCAAAAGCAGGGGATTTTATACTTCTAGTGGTTGATTTTAACCAAGCACTAGACCTTTTCAAAAACAGTGAGGTCAAAGTTCTACCCAAGAAAAGTTCTTGCATATAATAAGACTTCCAAACTCAAACTTGAGGCAGAGCTTCCATTTCTGTGTTAATGGCAGCTGAAGAAACTAAAAGACCAGAGGCAGCTGGCATTGAACATGTTGCAGCCATTTTTGGTGTTACAGGGCTAGTTGGGAAGGTGCTGGCCAAAGAGCTAATCTCAAAATCCAAATGGAAGGTTTATGGTATAGCTCGAAATCCGATGATCATATCGAATCAGCAATGTTCAAATTTCCATTTTATCCAATGTGATTTGCTAAACCCTTTGGAAACCCAGCAAAGGCTCTCATTGTTACAAGATGTGACTCATGTGTTTTGGGTCACTTGGGCAAGCCAATACCAGTTAGATAGCATTGAGTGTTGTGAGCAAAACAAGGCCATGATGTCCAATGCCTTGAATGCCATCATCCCCATGGCCAAGGCATTGAAGCATGTTTCTCTTCAGACAGGGATGAAGCATTATGTGTCATTGCAGGGGCCCTTCGATGAAGCAGAAGCTCGGTACTACAATGAGAATGGCCCGAGAGTGAATGCAGGCTGCAATTTTTACTATGTGCTGGAAGACTTGCTCAAGGAGAGGCTGGATGGTAAGATAGCTTGGTCTGTACACAGGCCTGGTTTGTTAATTGGTAATTCTTCTAGGACTTTGTACAACTTTATGGGTAGTTTATGTGTTTACGGAGCCATTTGTAAGCATTTGAATCTTCCCTTTGTGTTTGGAGGGACAAAGAAGTGTTGGGAAGAGACCTGCATTGACGGCTCAGATGCAAGACTAGTAGCTGAACAACACATTTGGGCAGCCACCAATGATGATTTAAATGTGCAATCCACTGATGGCCAGTCATTCAATGCAATCAATGGTCCAAGTTTCACATGGAAGGAGATCTGGACAGCACTTGCAGAAAAGTTTGGACTAGAAGTAGTACCCAAAAATGCATTTTCGGAGGACTTCTGGTATTCAAAAGCAATGGCTGACAAGAAAGAAATTTGGAAAGAAATTGTTGCAAAGGAAGGGCTGATGAAAACTGAGATGGAAGATTTGGCCAATTGGGAATTCTTGGATGTCTTGTTTCGTTGTCCGTTTAAGTTACTGGGAACCCGAAACAAAGTCGATCAGCTTGGTTTTACTGTAAGGTATAAAACACTGGATTCAATCTTGTATTGGATAGATTGTATGAGAGATGAAAAATTAATACCTTAAAAGCATATGCTTTAGATGCATTGTGGCTGAATGTGTGGAGCACCACAAACTTTTCCTTCAAGAAAAATGAAACTGGTGGAAGGCTGTACCTATACATGTTCGTTTGTTGACTGCCTATTTCTTGTTGCCTTATTTTATGATCATACAGGTTGTTTTGGGGAAATTGAATAATACAGATGCGTTGTTTTCTTCGTAAGTGTCTCCTCTTTTTACTCATCTTGTCTTTGGGGTATTTGGTCAGCCAAAACTTCGCCTAGTTCCATGCCCCAGCCTCACTTTGACTGCACAAGTAAAGGGGGCCTGCACTGGCCTAAGTTTTATATTTTCTACATGTCCTTAAAAAAAAAATATGTCAACGGGTCTAACTCAGTGAAAAAGGACATTGACTTGCAGAAAAGAAGTCTAAGTTTCGAACCTCCATGGCATCTTAGTTGTGTGTGTGAGAAATCTCATTTCGCTTTAGTTTTTAGACTATCTCTTGTACTAAAAAATAAAAATAAAAAATATAGAATTTGAAGTATGTGCTCACCATAATTTTAGTATATTTGACATGTGTCCCATTTGTATAGGCTAAAGGGGTAGGCATGTCTCTGTCTTGACTTTTGCCTTTGTTTATACAGTTGACTAATGCAGGCAGTCTGTATAGAATACCTCCCAAAGATATGAAAATGGAGCAAAGCATATTCTATTGGCTTACATGCTTTTAGTATATTTGTCACATGTCTTATTTGTGTGCTTATTGCACATAAAAGCACTTTGGCAAATGGTAAGGGTAAGGACAAGGCAAAAGATTGTTACTATTCAGGTGAATAGTGTCAGCTCTTGCAAAGGCAAATTGTGTTTCCACTTATTGCCATGACAAAGGGCAATTATTATTCATTTTCAATTATTTATATTTTTTATACATAAATGATTAATTTTGATAGGGTTTAGGGTTTTGGTGTGGGAAGTAAAGAATATGACTAGATGTTTATAAAAACTTAAAAAAATTCTGAATTTTTTGGTCTTTTTTTCCTTTTCTTTTTTTTCTTTTCAAATTTTCAAATATTTTAATTGATTGATGATGTCAGCATTATGTCACTGCCCAGGCAGCAGCACGGGTTGGATTTGCTTGTGGGCTTGCTCGGTTTGTTGGGACCCATTGTTTGCTTGAGTTGCTTTGACTAGCTAGAATTGCAATTTGGGGCTCAGGCCCCTTTTTGCCCAAGCCAACCTCCAGCGCTGAAAGTGCTCTAAATGCCTCCAAACCCCTGCTTATGTTTCAAAACTATGTAAGTTATCTCTCAAACAAAAACCTACCCGGCCAATGAGGGTTGGATGAGTTGGTAAGGAATATTCTCTTTGTTAGCAAGGCCTAGATTCGAGTCCAACTGTCAACAATCCTTCTTGGTGGTAATTTATAAAAACCAAAACAAATGTTAAGGTCATTTCTGTAAGTCCTCAAAGAGGCTTTGATATACCCTAGCCCTAAGATAAGGTAGCCTCCCCTCCCCCTAAATATTTTTTC